TTCTTAATCCCTCTCTCCTCCTCCCCTCCTCCCCCTTTGCCTCTCCCTTCTCTCTCTCTCCCTCCCTGCTCCTGTGGGCTCTGTCTCTCTGAGAACCCTAACTAGCACACTGCCCCCCCCCCATTCAGAACCCTCCATACTTCCCATGGAGTGGAGCCTGGCATTTCCCTGGGGCTTCTCTCCCCTGGCCTGCCCACCTTCTCTCCTATTAGCACCCTGTACTCAGGGCAGGTCAGCTATAGCTCAGCACTGCTCTGTGAAGTCAGGTGCATGACCGGCAGTGGGGCTGTCCCAGGGCTCGGAGGCCTTTTTCGTGCATACCTGAGGTGTGGGAGCAGCAGGGCAGAGGCTGACAGCCTGGACTCTCCAGGACAACAGTGCTCATCCCACCAGATGCCACTGTAATGGGAGTCCAGGTGGGGCCAAAGCTCAGACTCAGGGTACTGCACATGCTGGGGACCAAGATGCAGTCGGGGGATCCCCCTCCACACCCCCAGTTGGGCCAGTCTGAGCCAAGAGGAGCAGTCGAAAGCCCTGGAGGCTCCCTGGCCTGTTGGGTAATGGAAGTGGACGTGGAGTGGACCACACCAATGTGTGTGGGGTGGCCTGTCACGCAGACTCAGCTGCCAGAAGCCTTGGGCACATGGCTCCATCAGGAAACTCCAAAAGACCAAGAAGGACGAGTCAAACTCCACCACAGGCAGTGACTTGGGACTGGCATGGCCTCTCCTGCCCTCCTCCCCCCAGTTCTCTCCCACACCTGTCCCTCTGCAGATTTGACTCCTTAAGGACAGTCGCAGTGATTGGTAGGAGTGGCAGGACCCTCCCACCATCACCCATCAGGGTTTGGGGCTGGGACATAAGCGGCCAGTGCAGCCATCACTCTCCCAAGCATGAGCCACCTGGGGCTGGGGGAAGTCACAGACTCATTCAAGGCATTTGGGTCTTGTACTCACCTATCAGTGCTGCTGGCTACAAGGCCTGACGGAAAGGTTGCTCCCCAGATAACACCCCCCATGGGTCCTGGGCAGTGGGAACTGGGGCTTTTGTGGTGCACCCTGCAGGTCTTCCTCCTGTGAGCCTGGAGAGGAGCAAGCAAGAGACCCTTCTCTTGGACACACTGGTGCAGCCCCTCCCCAGCTCTGCCCCAGCCCCAGCCCCAGGCCTGATGACTAAGACATTGGCCGCACACACACACCAGCCTCTGCCTCTCCTCAATCAGGAGGCTTTTCAGCCAAACGCTGAGAACTTCAGCCAATGAAGAGTTCACACTGTGGAACACATTTGGCAGTGCCCATAACTCACGCCTTGTTTATTCTCACCGATGCTCTTATCATAGCGCATGTGTTCCAGCCACTCCACGCATGTCATCTGTCCAGAAAGAGAAAGTGCTTGTTTATTTCTTACTGTGCAGGGAGATAGAGCTCCCTTACAGACTGTGAACCTTATGTTGAGAGGAGAGGTAACTCGAGACACTGAAAGTGGGGTGTGCGTGGTTGGCCTTGGATTCTGTCGAAGGGGTGGAGATGGGGAGGCAGGGGAGGTGCGTGGCAGCATTGGTGGTGGTGGATGGAAGATGTGGGTTGTGGCTGGAGTGGTTTTGCAAGGCCACTGCTATTGTCTAGATTGTACATTTATTTAGGGGCTTGAGAGGGGGCTGGAGGTGGTTATAGTGAGGCCAAAATTCCTTCCCACCCATAAGTCCCCTCATGCCACTGGTACCACTGACTCCTGGTGGCAAACCTCCCCTCATCCTCCTGAGCCCTCAGCTGTCTTTCCCTGGATACACATGGAGCTGTCCAGGGTCCTGACATGCAGCCTACTTGGGGATGTGCGGACTTCTGCCCCAGGATACTAAGGTTCCTCCTGGCTTTCACTCACCCAGAGCCGGCAGTGGTCTTTGCTTCAGCCTTTATCTGAGTGGTGCATGGAAGAGCAGCTTTCTCCATGGAAAAAGTGAGGACGCTAGGCTCATGGCAAGGGGGTGATCTCTTTATATTTCATTCATTATGTTTCTGTCTTTATTAGAAAGTGAACTTGTGGCCAGGTATGGTGGCTCATGCCTGTAATTCCACCACTTTGGGAGGCTGAGGAAGGAGGATTGCTTGAGGCCAGGCATTTGAGACCAGCCTGGGCAACATAGAAAGACCCCATTTCTATTTATAAAATAAATTTAAAGCATTTATTTTTTGAGACAGAGTCTCACTCTGTTGCCCAGACTAGACTGCAGTGGTGTGATCTCAGCTCACTGCAACCTCTGCCTCCTGGGTCCAAGTCATTTTCATGTCTCGGCTTACCGAGTAGCTGGGATCACAGGCATGTACCACCACATGCAGCTAAATTTCTTTTGTATTTTCAGTAGAGATGGTGTTTCGCTATGTTGGCCAGGCTGATCTCAAAGTCCTTCACTCAAGTGATCAGCCCATCTCAGCCTCCCAGAGTGCTGGGATTACAGGCATGACCCACCATACCTGGTGGTAAACTTTAAAAAATGTTAAAGTGAGCTTATGGGGATAGGGCTAATCTTTGATGGATAAGCTGCCATGAGTTTAAGGGTTGGGAACAGTTTTATGGCAAATTCAGGTGGTTCTTAAGAGGTTACTATTCTCTTATTGTCCACAAGGCAATTTTTCCTTTCAATGGAGGAAGTTGCAGGCAGGTGTGCTTTACAGGCACATGTAAACAGGAAGTCAAGAGACTCACCTAGCCCCAGGCTTTGTCTGGCAGGACCTTCTCCTCTAGGTCCACGCCCAGGGCTGTAGCTCAACCAGCGTTAGAGTGGGACAGTTAGGCTCAGAGTCCAGAGGTCCAGGAGACAGTGTCCCGCATCCAGTCTGCACAAGTAAAATAGAACAGGACCACAGCCCACCACCCTCCAAGGCTGTGGGGACAGTGCCAGTGGGAGGTCACAGCCTTAGCGACCACAGCCTCAACAAGAACGTGGTTTCCATCTTCCCCCCCAACCCCAACTGGCAGGATCCCTTTTGGAAGTGGCTCCTCAGCCCCCCTCTTGGCCAAATCTGGTATGACTCATTTGCTCCAGAAAAGGAATATATAAGCACTGTCATACCTTGACAAGATGACAGGAGTGACAAGCAGAGTGATTTTCTGCATCTGAGACTCTGAGGAGAGGAGGTTTAGCAGAGCCAGCTGCCATCAGCAGAAGAAAATAATTAGAGAGATCTGGCAGAATGGAGAAAAACCGAGTGGTGTGGCAGGTCCCTTCTGGTGAAGGGATCCGTCGTCATCAGCTTCTGGAAAGGAGTCCTAGGGGCTCATGCTGGGACTGCCGCACTAAAGATGGGAGGAGGAAGGGGTGCCTGGCAAGGAAGGAAATAGATTCTGGGGAGGGCTGGGGGGCGGCAATGAGCAGCTCGATCCTAAAGACTCCTCTCACAGGCCAGGCAACTGCTGCTTACAGCCTGTACCCTGAGGGGTACAGCCAGGTCTACTCCAAAGATCCCCCACATGCCTGCATGGGCACATACGCTTGGGAATGCCCAGGAAGATAGGGATGCTCTGCCCTTTTTCCATGGGAGAGCATATCCTTATATCAAGCCCAAAGGGACAAGCAGAAGGAAGATGAACTGTGCCCCAGTTTTTGCCTGAATTTCTGCTGCTCGGGACGTGAGGAAGGTTCTGGCAAGCTCAGGGAATTCAGGCTGTCCAGTCCAGGGCCAACCTTGCATCCATTTCCTGGCTTGCTAATGAACGAAGGAGGTGTACAGGCACAGCCTCAGATGGTCTGGGGCATGGCACTGGCTGAGTCTGTACCACTGGATCCCATGGAGAAATTCACAGAATCTCTGGCTCAGGGAAGACCTGGATGTCCCTTAACCAGCAGGGCTCCTGCCACTGGACTTCTGCCCCAGCCATGGAGACAGCCAGGAAAGTGCTGGACCCTGGAAGCCCCCACCCGCAGGCAAGTAGCCAGGACTTGCTCAGGTGTGGTCGGGCATAGTGCCCCAGTGTGCCAGTCAGAAGTTCCAGCTCTCTGCTTAAGGGATAGCTGGTTCTGATGGTAACTGTTGCTCAGGACAAAAATACCCACTCACATGGCACCAGACCAGATAGAGCCCTTGATGCCTCGGTGGCCAGCCAGGGACGGGCAGAAGGATCTGGCTTCTAAACAGATTCCCCCCAAAGGGAATCTTGTCCTCCCAGGACATTCCCCCAAAACAGACCAAACAGGGTATGGCCACAGATTCTTCTGCTCTGGCCAAAGGTTGGCCTCACCAGAGCTTGTTTCTTGGGTTCCCCAGCCCAGACACAGGCCTCCTTGGTGGGCAGAGGGGATGTTCTAGAGCAGGGCCAGTGACACACTGGTCTCTTACTTCCTGGGGTCATCAGTCAGTGAACTCCGGGCAATCGACATGGGCCCTGCTTAGGGCTTTGGAGACCAGGGTGGGTAAGATATGGTCAACTCACCCCAGAAAGCCAGAGCCAGCCCAGAAGGCCCACATCACAAAGCAAATGCCCAGGTTAGGGAACTTCCTGGAGGAAGAGGAGTGTGTTCCTTTCCTAGGCCTGGTGTGTGCAAAGATGAGGGTATGAATATGTCATATTCCAAGCACAGAACTCCATAGCGGCCACCACTGGGGCATAGCTGATGAGGTGTGGAGAGAGGGTGGATCGAGCTTTCTGGAGTGTCCTTTCCCTGTGAGTTAATGATATGGTGGGGTGCAGGAGGAGATGGTCTGCAAGTGTCCTAGCTGCTCCACAGGGAGGTGTGTGGGTACCCGGTAGGTCACTTGGGGAGGCAGGCATGATGCAGAGAAGAGAGCCTCCGCTCCCAGCCCCTGGGACCACATGTTTGCTGCATCCCCATTTTCTGCATGGGTAGGGGATGGAGGGGCTCCAGCACTCGAGCCGTGCCCTCTCCCTGCCTTTCCCCAAGAGCCCTCCACCTGGATGTCCACAGCCAGGAGCCCAAAAGCAGTTCACTGGGAGCCACAGGGCACATCCACTGCTAATACTGTCCTTTTCTGTTTGCTTTTCAGGAATAAAGTTCAGCAGGCCATGGCAGCCCCACCAGGTAAGTTCTGAGAGTCAGCCCTGGGGAAATGGGGGAGGGCTGGGAAGAAAATCAGGGGCTCGCGTTGAATCCATTATTGGAAAGAAAAATGTGTCCAGCATTTCCCAGGAGCATTGGGAACAAAGCCCAGGGCTCTGGACCCACGAATTTCCCTTAGTCGTTAGAGGGCTGCTTTGCACGGAGCTCAGAGAGAGTAAATCTGAGCCCAGCTGCGGGCCACCTGCTCCCAGCAGTCTCACCCGTCCCGGGTTCCTGGGAGGACTGCGCCATCTTGTGGCAGAAATAATACTCGCACCTCGGGGAGGGAGGCCTTTAGGGGGTTGGGCCAGGGCTTAACCCAGAGGGGTCTCACCAGCAGGGTCAGCCTGTCTCCCAAACCTGAGGGACAGGACCCCCAACCCTGGTGAGAGTCTGGCTTGTGTGGGACTCAGTGTCTGGCTGTCCTCGCCACCCAGATAACCACTTCTCTTCTTGACCCAGGACCTCCCACCCGGTGGCTCCAAGGATAGTGACTTGGAGGTTCCCACAGAGAGGGTCTCTCGAGACTTGTCCAGCCGGGCCCCAAGGGGCCTCACCCTGCCAGTGCCTGACCAGCCTCAACCCCTGCTGCAGAGGGGGACCCGTCTGCGACTCCGCCAGCGCCGTCGCCGTCTGCTCATCAAGAAAATGCCAGCTGTGGCAACCATCCTGGCCAACAGCTCGGAGACACCCTGCATCCGGCCGGGACCCAGGACCCTGGACGGCCGCTGGATCAGCCTGCACCGGAGCCAGCAGGAGCGAAAGCGGGTCATGCAGGAGGCCTGTGCCAAGTACCGGGCGAGCAGCAACCGCCGGGCCATCACGCCCCGCCATGTGTCCCGTATCTTTGTGGAGGACCGTCACCGCGTGCTGTACTGTGAGGTGCCCAAGGCCGGCTGCTCCAACTGGAAGCGGGTGCTCATGGTGCTGGCCGGCCTGGCCTCGTCCACCGCTGACATCCAGCACAACACCGTCCACTATGGCAGCGCCCTCAAGCGCCTGGACACCTTCGACCGCCAGGGCATCTTGCATCGCCTCAGCACCTACACCAAGATGCTCTTCGTCCGTGAGCCCTTCGAGAGGCTGGTGTCTGCCTTCCGCGACAAGTTCGAGCACCCCAACAGCTACTACCACCCGGTCTTCGGCAAAGCCATCTTGGCGCGGTACCGGGCCAATGCCTCTCGGGAAGCCCTGCGGACAGGCTCCGGGGTGCGCTTCCCTGAGTTCATCCAGTACCTGCTGGACGTGCACCGGCCTGTGGGTATGGACATTCACTGGGACCACGTCAGCCGGCTCTGCAGCCCCTGCCTCATTGACTACGACTTTGTGGGCAAGTTCGAGAGCATGGAGGAAGATGCCAACTTCTTCCTGAGCCTGATCCACGCGCCGCGGAACCTGACCTTCCCCCGGTTCAAGGACCGGCACTCACAGGAGGCGAGGACCACGGCCAGAATCGCCCACCAGTACTTCGCCCAGCTCTCGGCCCTGCAACGGCAGCGCACCTATGACTTCTACTACATGGATTACCTGATGTTCAACTACTCCAAGCCCTTTGCAGATCTGTACTAAGGGGCAGCGCAGCTGGTCAGGCCACCCTGCCCTAGTCACTCACCTGTGCTCTCAGGCACCCTCCTGTCCTTGGTTCCTCATCCTGGGAGCTGAGAGGTTCCCTGAGCAACAGGGCTCTGAGGAGCCATGGCCGCGGATGGGGGCCCCTGGCCTGGGCTTGTTTCCTCACTCCTTGGCTGAGGGAGACGCTGAGGACTAGGACAGACACCCCCAAAGCAGGGAAGTCTGAGGCCCAAAGGATGGGTCCCCAGCGGTAAGGGATGTCCTGCACTCCCTTAGCCATTGCCTTGGACCAAACCACATGGTTTGCAGCTTTTCTATGAGCGAGGGGGGAGGTTTCCATGGATTTAGGTTCCCAATAAAGCACATGGTTTCCAGAGCAGCGGTGTGTACTCTGTGGTGGCATGTGAGCACGTGGACCCTGGGCTGAGCTTTCTGGAGCTCTTTCTGCCTTCCTAGGACAGCCTGAGCCAGGTGCCTGCAGGCCCCACTGCAGAGAAGTTCAGGAGCAGCCTCCATGGGAGGAGAGCACAGAGGACCCAGCAACTCGGTCAGGGCCTGCAGGCACCTGAGGCTAGAGCCCAGTCAACTGTGACTCCCATCTCAGTCCTGGCACATTCATCTTGAAAGGAGAAGATACACCTGTTTCCATGGGGGCTTCCTGGGGTTTTCTTATCAGTGCACCTTGCTGGGGCCTCTGGGGACTGCCAGAGCAGTGGCCAGCTGTCCATCAGGGCATGGTGCATGCATCTCAGCGGGTGTGAGGCTATCGGCAGGGAGCGAGGCTGGCCCTGCTTTCTGCACCTCTGAGCCTGAGGCTGTCATCGCGGACACTGGCCTTGATCCCCTGGCCCCACTCACCTGACAAAACTGCCCCAGGGCTTCCAGGATGCACCTGCTCTGGAAGGGAGGAGAAGCTGTAGAGCAAACTTCTCCAAAAGCATGTATATTCACAGCAGAGAGGGCTTCGGAAGTGTCAGCAGCCAAAGTGGTTCTGGGAAGGTCTGAGGAGAGGTGCTTGTTGGAGTGTTGAGTGTGGGCGTGAGTGCAGCTCTGTGTGGGTTTGGTTTGTGATGGGAAGGGCTGCCTGACTCTGGAGTCTCTGCCCTGTCAGCCTGTCTGCAGAAACCTCTGCAGGCGCTCCTGGGTCATTCTGTGGGTTGCTCTGTCGGCCCTCCCAGGAGGCTGCCCTCAGTCTGTCCCAACTTGCCAGGGGAGATGCTGCTGGTTCTCTAGGTGAAGATGCCACTGGATCCCCAAGTGGAGGCCCTGCTGATCTCCAGGTGGAGGAGCTGCTGGATCCCCAGGTGGAGGCGCTCCTGGAATCTCCCCAGGCTCACATGCTCCACCTCCTTTTCTGCCTCCACCTTGGACCCTGGAACAAGGAGAACAAGGCACCGAGCCTTCCCCCTGCCTCTTTGGGATAATATCCATCCAGGAGATGGAGAAGCAGGGAGACCTCCCTTGGGTTCCAGCTGGAAGCGGCCTGGACCACCCAACAGAAATGACCCAGAGGGGCAGGGAAGAGGCTCTGGCCAGGGCCTGGGAAACTTGGAACCTGCAGAAGCTGGGACAGCAGATGTCAAGGGGCCCAGAAAGCCAGAGTGGCTGCCCTGCACCTTAGCCAGGACCAGGGTCCATGGGAGAAGAGGCAGGGAAGTACCTAGTTGAGGACGACCTAGAAAGAGATGCCCTGGGCCCTAGCACTCACATCATGAGACCATGTCCACATGCAGGAAGGTGTCCCTGGTCATGGGTACGTTTGGTGAAGCCAGAGGCAGCACCCCATGGCATCTGCTCAGCAGGGAACACCTGGACACCCCCCTGAGGCAGCATCTGGGAGCTGTCTGGAGATAGTGAGGATGGCCCTGCCCCTCCCGCGTGTGTGCGCCTGTGTATTGTGTGTATTGGGGGAGAAGGCGCACTCATTTGTGTCATCTCTCAGAGACGCCCTGGCCCGAGCTGGACAGACATGCACACACAACACATCCATCCGTGGGGGGCTTTTGTTGCAGGTGGCGATGACAGAAGGCAGTAACCATGATTACCATTTGATGGCCCTGAGAGTAACCTCCAACTAAAAGCCAGAGGCCCAGCCTGGAGACCACCCCAGCTCCAACCCCCACCCCAGCCCCAAACTTCACAGAGCTCGGGAGGAGCAGACCCAGCGCTGTGGTAGGGAAGTATGTGTGTGTGTGCCTGTGTGTATGTATGTATCTCACCTGTGCTGTGCAGTGGGTGTGAGTGGCCTGTGCTGTGGGGTAGGTGTGAGTGGGTGTGTGAGTCTGGGTGTTTGGCCTGTGCTGTGGGTGTGTGTGTTTGTGTGCGTGTGCCTGTGCCTGTGCTGTGGGGTGGATGGGTATGAGCATGTGGGGGGGGGGTTTCTAGCCTGTGCTGTGGGGTGGGTGTGAGCGTGTGTGTGTGTCTGGCTTGTGCTGTGGGGTGGATGGGGGTGTGTGTGTTTCTGGAGTGAGGAGTGTGTGTTGTGTGTGAGCTCGAATTCGTGCGGGAGGTGGGCTGTGTGCAGTCTGAGTCCTGACTGTCTCCAGGACCATCTTGTACACCCCCTCCCCATCTCTCCCTGCCCATCCACTGGCCATTTTGTGGAGGGGCCATCTGATGAGACCACAGAAAGGGCAGCCAGCAGCTGCCAGGGGTGGAGGAGGCCCATTGAGTTGGGAGAATAATAGCCCAAGCCCCATGCCCTCCCCATCTTGGCCCCCCTGTGAGCCCCTCAGGGAAGTCCCGGCCAGGCCTCTGCCCTTGAGTGGCTGAGAGCTCGAGGATGGGAGCCCTACTCTGAGCAGTGACAAGAACAAACGTCCCAAAGCCTAGGATCCCTCCTGGGGCCGGTGAGCCCCAAGGGCCTTGAGTCTCCTGGGGAGATGAGATTCAGGGTCCACAGACGGTCAGGTGGGAAACCCAGGCAGCTCTGGCCTCAGACGTGGCCAAAGCCCCTCCTCCCCGCTGTCTCCAAGGAGCTTGGTGGCCCATTCGGGGCCTGTCCAAAGGGCCCAGGACGGAGTTGGGCATGCAGTGGAGAGAGGGTCCCCCATCACCTCCCCCACTCTCAGCCAGGGTTTGCCAATTTTTTCCTCAGGACTGAGCCCCTTGGTGAGGGACAGGAGCCCATGGAACCATTGGTTCTGAGTCCTGGAGGCGGGCTCACCTCCCTGCCCCATTTCCTCTTGGCCCTTTCCTCTTCAAGGAGCACCCATGACCAACCCAGGGAATGTCCCTCACTCCTCTACTCCCTTCACAAACCCAGGGGATCCAGAGCTGGGCACAAGAGGCTCAGTGTTGACCCCTGGGATCCAGAAGTGGATAAGGGTGGGAGTTGGGAGTAGGGTAGTCTGGGTTCAAGTAACACTGGCCTTACCTCCGGGAATCCCCAGCTGATGGGTACCCCGACTCCTGGATGAGGGATAAGCAGGTGCCCTGGGGAGCCACCCCCGGGTGTGGGGAGAGGACTGTGTGTCAGCCCTGGCTGCCCTGCCCAGGCTCGGGGAGGGACCTCAGGAGCCCTGAGCTGGGTTCTTCCCCCCTCCCTGGCCTAGCTGCTCTTTGGCCCTTCTCACTGCCCAGGGCTGGCTTTGCACAAGAGGCTGTGCTGGCAGAGGGGCGCCTGGGGTCTGGGCCAGGTGAGGACTGCTAGGGGATGATCTTCCTGCCCGTCCTTCACCCTGCACTGGCCTCAGGAAGGGAGGGGCAGGGGAGCAGCTAGGGGGTGCCAGGAGCTCTGGAAGCTAGGAAAGGGGGCAGGGGGCGGGAGCAGAGGGCAGAAGAGAGCCACTTCCTACCACGGGCCTGGGTGACCCTGCAGTGCCACAGAGTACTGAGCATGGAGAAGGGCAGGTGCATGTGCCAGCTGTTTAAGGTGGGGATAAGGCCGGGCGCAGTGGTTCACGCCTGTAATTTCAGCACTTTGGAAGGCTGAGGCGGGCTGATGATCACAAGGTCAGAAGATCAAGACCAACCTGGTTAATATGGTGAAACCCCATCTCTACTAAAAATACAAAAAATTAGCTGGGCTCGGTGGCTCACGCCTGTAGTCCCAGCTACTCAGAAGGCTGAGGCAGGAGAATTGCTTGAACCTGGGAAGCGGAGGTTGCGGTGAGCCAAGATCGTGCCATTGCACTCCAGCCTGGGCAACAAGAGCCAAACTCCATCCCACCCCCGGCCCCCAAAAAAGGGGGGTGACCAAGGGACTGGGAGCCCGAGTGTGTCAGGGATCACTCGTGCTGGGTGCTATGCTGTGGCCTCGTGCGCACTGCACTGCCCAATGCCCCTCTCCCAGCGGGCCCGGTCACTCCTGCCTCTCTCTACTGTGTAGGTGAGAAGACTGAGGCACAACAGAGCGTGGCCAGAGCTGTGCGGCGCAGGAGTTGGAGCTGGGATTGCGTCCTAGCGGCCGACGGGGTCCCCTCGCCTTTGTGCCCACAGGCGCAGAGCCGTCCTCCGCCGCCAGGTGGGGCTAAATCCCCGCTCCTGAGCAGCGGCCTGGAGATCCCCGGCGGGGCCGCCAGGTGGCAGCAGCGCTCCGGCCGCGCGGCTCCAGGTCGGGTGCGCCCCGTGTTCCCAGCCTCCCCACTGCGCAGTCCGCTCCTCTATCCTCCTTCCAACCGTGGGGTCACGGGGCTCCCGACCCTCCATTATCTTCCGGCGACCTCCAGAGGTTACTCTCAAACCCACCAGCTCCAGGGAACCAGCCTGTGTTAACACCAATCCCCGAAATACCTGCAGCACCCCTAAAGCAGTGACATCCACAGCCTCCCCGGGGGGTTGTCCCGCACGCTCCAACAGGGTGATGTCAGGCCTTCTCCAACCTCAACTACAACTCGAACACACACGTGCAAACACAAATGCATGCACACACAACCACATGCAGACACCCATCCTCACAAACGCACCCAGATATGCAGACACACGCATGCACAGACACCCACCATTACGCAGACACACACGGAAACACACAGAAACAGGCATGGCTCAGGAGAGGGCCTCTTGCTGCATTAACTTAAATGGGAAGAACCAGAAAGTCCCTCACTGTCTCAGCCAAGTGCACACCTTCCCACGCTGAGCCCTGTGCTCCACCTACCCACCTGCACTGGCCAGAGGTACCCTCAACGCGCGCGCGCACACACTGGATCCCAGTCCCTTACTCCTTAAGCACCTCTTGCGTGCACCTGTGCCCTCTCTGCACACACAGTAGGCTTTCCCATCGGCAGAAAACAAGCTGTCACCGCCCCATTTAAAAAACGGCAACAAAAGCCAAAATAGACAAATGGGACCTAATCAAACTCCACAGCTTCTGCAGGGCAAAAGAAACAGTCATTAGAGTGAATCGGCAACCAACAGAATGGGAAAAATTTTTCGCAG